AAATAATTGCCGGAATGATGGTTCTCGTTGGACTCGGTCGATTTCTTGCTTGCCTTTGTCAGGTGAGTTTATTTAGTCCAATACCCGCCGATCCATTCCAGCGGAGCGGGCGTTTTGGGGCCGGGAAAGGGAGGTTTTTTCTCTGCAATTTCTAAGCTGGTGTTCCTCCGAGGCTATGCTGAACGGCAAGGAATGTGGTTTTAGTGTAACATACCGTGAAACATCATTTATTGTTGTTACTTTCAATGTTTTCGTAGTTTTATAATTGATTTTGTTGAACTGGTTTGCTCTTTGCAGGTTGCTTTGCGTGCGTCAAGTGATCTCCGTCATTAGTGACACATCACAAGATGAACCGAATCATCTCCTGAGGAGTTCCATTTCGACACGAATTTCGTGGTTTGTTTTCGCAACGGGCCACGCGTTACGATAGAGGCACAATAAAGATTCATTCTTATATCAAAGAAGTTATTGCAGGTTGTCTGACTAGATAAACGACTAAAAGCAAAATTATTCGCTGAAACATTCATCGGCTTACGAACAATAGGCAATAAATGGATTCAGGGAACATATGATAGTCCGGTTTACGGATGTTAGTAGGCCGTTGTTGACTATCATCATGCATCATTAATCGAGTACTCCAGTGGTGATATCCTGTCGCCTGCCTCAATTGGTTGGTGTTTAGGAATGGAGGACTTTGTGAAAAGAGACGCACGACTCATACCAGTGGAAGAGAATAGGCCTGCCTTGAACACATCATAGAGTCATGTACGATTTTATATTCGTTTGAGAAATGGCTGAAATCACAAATTCGAGGGCGAGAGACGTATCTTAGGATCAGTTTGCCGGCCTTTGCGTTCTGCATTTTTGACATCATCGTCATCATCATCGTACAGTGAGATACAGTGAAGCGAACTTCACTGTTCACTGCCAAGCTCACAATGCACTCAAATCAAGTGATAAAGCACAAGATGATGAGGGATTGGGCCTAATTGGAGGGAGGCAAAGAAAGTGAAACTCAATGGTCAAAAAACAGGGTACACAATCTAGTTGTGCATACATATTTTTTCAAGCCTTCGGACCTGATAAGAAATGACAACAAGAACGCCATCGGCTGTCGGTTAGTCGCCATATCCATCAGTTCTCCAACCAGCCAATTACAGAGTCTTTCGGATCCCAACCTGGAAGACGGGAGACACCGATTATACCTAATCGCTCGGTGCATTTCTTCACGTCCGGTTTCAAGTCATCTGTTGACCTCCACGCGGTTTCTTCCAACCTGGAGCAGCAATTGCGAATAGGGCCCGGTACGGTAGACGATGACTGGGCATGCGCAATACGTGTCCTAACCAGCGAAGCCGAGTAATCTGAATTCGACAGGACAACGAATTCTCCACGGAATCATTACCAAATACGCGACGCCTTACCTCTGAGTTACTTAC